GGGGGGGAGCCAGAAGCCCAGCGGTCCTCCCTCCGCCGACAAAATCCCGACGGAGGCGAAAACATCGGCGGCGAAACCAACGCCGCCTGACAAAGGAGCCCGGAGGGGCTGATGCGGGCGAGGATAAGCGGGGCAAACTCTAATGCCCTACACCCTCGCCCACACAAACCTCAACCACTCGGCGGGGGCGCAGAGCATGTTGCTCCAGTGCCTGGCCGAGGGGGGGGGGGGGCTGGCTATCGCCGCCGACCCGTATAACATCCCAGAGAATCACCCCAACTAGGCTGGGGACTCTCTGGGACGGGTGGCGATGGTCTGCCTGCACGCGCGCGACACCCCGCCGATGATACCCATATCGGCGGGGGAGGGGTTCATACTAGTAGAGTGGGGACCTATCGACGTTGTGGGGTGCTACTTCCCCCCTAGACTATCTAGGGGGGAATACGAGGACGCCCTGGAGTCCCTGGGGGAGTGGAGTGGGGACCCATCGACGTTGGGGGGTGCTACTTCCCTCCTAGACTGTCTAGGGGGGAATACAAGGACGCCCTGGAGTCCCTGGGGGAGCAAATACATCATCGCTTCCTCAGACCAACGATCGTGGGGGGGGATTTCAACGCTCACGCTGTTGAGTGGGGATCCTCCTCCACCGACTCCAGGGGCGATAGCACCCTGCAGTGGTCGGCGGGACTCGGCCTGATCATCATGAATTAGGGCCGGGTCAGCACCTTCGTGGGGCCGCGGGGGGAGTCCATAGTAGATCTTACATGAGCGCCCCCCGCGGCGGCTCAGCGAGCCAAAGGTTGGCACGTGGACGCCGGCTCCCTAGGAGAACAGTCGGATCACCGAGTGATCCGAATGGAGCTGGTGTCCACACCCGCGGAGGTGCAAGTGAGACAACGCCGCCACAGAGAAGAACGTCGATGGGCCCTGAGGAAATTGGACCCCGACGCCCTCGAGGTGAGCCTCCTCACCTCCACCTGGCCGGAGCGACCGGGAGCCACGGTGGAGGAGGAGGCAACATGGCTCGGGGACGTCATGTCGCGCGCGTGCGACGCGTCGATGCCCCGCTCCCGCCCAACGAGCCGGAGGGCGGCCTATTGGTGGTCGGAGGAACTAGCGGAACTCCGAAGGACCACCGTGGCCGCCCGGCGCAAATACACCCGCGCCCGGCGGCGGGGCATCGACGCGGAGGTTGAGAGGGCCGCGGAGGGACTCCGCGACGCGCGAAGCGCCCTCCGTGTGGCCATCAGGCGGGCGAAGGCCAATGCCTGGAAGGAGTTAGTCTCCTCCCTGGACAGGGACCCGTGGGGGAGGCCCTACAAGATAGCAACAAAGAAGTTGCGTCCGTGGGCCCCCCCAATCACGGAAACTCTGGACGTCCCGTTCCTCGACGATGTGGTGTCCGCCCTCTTCCTTACGAGGAATCGCGAGATCCCTGAGAGGGCGGGCCCCCCAGAGTGATGGGTCGAGGAGCTGGGTGTCTCCGGGGAAGAGATGGCGCAGGCCTTCGCTCGCCTGAAGGGGAGGCCCCGTGCACCGGGGCCCGACGGCGTGCCCGGCAAAGTGTGGGCAGCCGCGGCCCCGGTGATCAGGCCTAAAGTGAGGCAGCTCTATACGAGCTGCCTCAGGGAAGGTGTATTCCCCAGGTTGTGGAAAAGGGCCAGGCTTGTCCTCCTACGTAAGGAGGGCAAGCCAGCGGAGAATCCCTCCGCGTATAGGCCTATATGCCTACTGGACGATGTGGGAAAACTGTTCGAGCGAGCCATCGCTACCCGCATCGTCCAGTGTCTGTCCCGGGGTGGTCAAAACTTGTCCGGCGGCCAGTACGGCTTCTGGGAGGGCCGATCGACGGTAGATGCGATCAAGCAGGTGCGTGCCCTCTCGGAGCAGCTGACCACCGGCGGGAAGGTGGCGTTGGCGGTGTCACTCGACATCGCCAACGCCTTCAATAGTCTGCCGTGGGGCCGGGTGGTGGGGACGCTGAGGGATCACTTCCTCTTGCCTCCCTACCTGCTCGCCGCGGCGGAAGACTACTTCCGGGACAGATAGCTGGAGTACCGGGACAAGTCCGGACTCCAGCAGCGGAGGGAGGTGTCGTGCGGCGTTCCTCAGGGGTCGGTGCTCGGCCCCCTATTATGGAACGTCGCATACGACGCCGTACTCCGCGCGGCCCTGCCCCCCGACTGCCACGTAGTGTGCTACGCGGATGACACGCTCGTGGTAGCGGGGGGTACAACCTGGGGAAGGGCAGTATGCGGGGCGAACGTCGCGGTGGCATGCGTCGTCGGCGCGATTAAACTGCTGGGGCTGAGGGTGGCCCCCGCCAAGTCGGAAGCTATGTTCTTCCACGACGGGACTGGCGGGAGGCTCCCCAGGGCCTCAGTAAAGGTGGACGAAGTCCGTGTCCTGGTGGGACCCAATCTGAAGTACCTGGGTCTCACCTTGGATGGTCGCTAGGGTTTCAAAGATCACTTCGATCTCATAACCCCGCGATTGGGCAAGCGGGCCGATGCGTTACTCGGTCTGATGCCGAACCTTTGTGATCCGAACGATGGCGTCAGGAGGGCGTATTCGTACGCGGTGCTGTCGGGGGCCCTCTATGGGGCCCCCGTGTGGAGCGGGGAGGCCCTGGCCAGCCGCTGCATCCGTCAAAGGATGCAAAGCGTAAGAAGGCGGCTGGCCCTGCGAATCGCAAGGGCCTACAGGACCGTGTCGAATGACACCCTCGAGGTCCTCGTGGGTGTCCCCCCGGTGGAGTGGGTGGCCGACGCCCTGGCGGAGTCGTACGCCAGGGTCAAGGCCATCAGGCTCCGAGGGGGCGTTGTAACCCCGAGGACAGTCAGCGTCATCAAGGAGGACGCCCGTCGGCGGGTGTTCCAAGAGTGGCGAGACAGCCTGCGGAACGACCCGCCAGCGAACGGGAAGAGGACCACGGAGGCCATCCTCCCCTGCCTGGACGATTGGGTGGGCAGGGGATGTGGCGGACTTTCGTACCACCTGATGCAGGTGCTCACCGGCCACGGCTGCTTCGGTGAGTACCTGCGTCGAATCGGGAAGGAGCCGACGACGCGTTGCCACCACTGCGACGGGGCTCGGGACGACGCGCAGCACACGCTGGAACATTGTCCAGCGTGGGCGGAAGAACGCGCCGTCCTGAGCCGAGAGATAGGGGAGGACCTCTCCCTGCCGACCGTGGTTAGAGTCATGGTCGGCAGGGAGAGGGCTCCCGTCTCCTCCTTCTGCGGGCAAGTCATGCGGCGGATAGAGGAGGTGGAGAGAGAGAGAGAGAGGGCCCCCGGAGGCCGGGGCCCTCCCCCCGCGGTGGGGGTAGAGACAGAGGAGGGGGCGGGCGGCCGGGGGGTCGTCGGGGAGAACGCAGTGGCCGGCTCCAGCCGGGCCGCCCGCGCCCCGGG